CTGCTGCTGCAGCAGCTGCTGTTGCAGCAACTGTTGCTGCAGCAAGTGGTGTTGCTGCTGTATCTGTTGCTGTGGCAAGTGGAGTTGCTGGAATTGTTGCTGTTGGATGAGTTGCTGCTGCAGTTGCTGCTGCTGTTGCTGCTGCAGCAACAGCAACTGCTGCTGCTGCTGCTGCTGCGGTGCAGCAATAGATAAGAAGCGCCTTGCTGCTGGTGGTTTGACTTCAGGCAAGCAGAAAGATGTCTTAAGCTGCACTAGGGGGGCTGCTTGCTGCTGCTGATCCACCCACTGCCACGCCGCTTGCTGCAGCAGCAGCTGCTGCTGCTGCTGCTGGTCTTGCTGCTGGTCTTGCTGCTGGTCTTGCTGCTGCTGCAGCTGCTGTTGCAGCTGCTGCAGCAGACGGGTAGGCAGCAGAGCAGCTTGAAAGAGAAGCTGACAAGCAACATCATTCTTTGTTGGGGTGAAGCTCTTACTATAACTCACAGCTACAAACTCCTCTGTAGCTGCTGCTGCTGCTGCTGCTGCTGGTGCTGCTGCTGCTGGTGCTGGTGCTCCTGATGCTGTTGCTGCTGCTGGTGCTGCGTCTCGCGGTGTATCAGCAGAAGCAGCAGCAGTAACAATAGAGTTGTTTGTTGTTTCATCATCGCCCAGGGCAGTCTGCTGCAAAGGTGCAGCAGCAGCAGCAGTAGCAGCAGCAGCAAACGCACCGTCTAGAGGCTGTAGAGGGAAGGAGCAGCACTCAGCAGCAGGCTCCAACCAGCATGCTTCCACTACAGCTGCTGCTGCTGCTGCGCTGCTGCTGCTGCTGCTGCTGCTGCTACTGCTGCTGCTGCTGCTGCTGCTGCTGCTGAGGGGCCCGAAAGTGAAAGGGTTGGGGTGTCTAGGCAGCTTCTGGATGCCTCTCGAGCGAAAGAAAGACTGAAGAGCCTTTGTAGACTTAATAAAACAAACATAGCTACAAAAACAACGAAGCGAGGCAACGCACTGCAGCAAAGCAACCCGGTGTGGATGAAGTGTACAGACAGCACAGCGGGGGCCCCTCAGCCACCTATATACTATTTGTAAACCTTTATATTCATCTGCATCATATGCTGCTCCTGCTGCTGCTGCTGCTGTTCCTGTTGTTGTTGCTGCTGCTGTTGCTGTTGCTGTTGCGGGTTCGGATGATGCTGCTGTTGCTGCTGTTGCGGCTTCTGAAGGTGCTGCTGCTGCTGCTGCTGTGTCTGTTTTGTCTGCTGCTGCGGCTGCTGC